ACATATTAAGATCTCTATAAAGTTTGAAGGTCAAGTTTTGCCTTTTTGTTTGGGATTTGGACTACAGTAGAATTAAGTAAGTATGCAGGAATTTAATATTGGCATTTTAGATTAGAAAGCAGGCTTTATCTGGATGGCACATTGCTTTTTATAGGGTGACACGTAGAATTAACAAAGCTTTAGTCTGCCAAACAAGGCTTTAATGGAAACGTTTTGCAGTAAAGGTTTAGCAATCTTATGAATAAATCTATCAAAACTGATCTAATACTGTCAAATTCTGAACACATTTACTTTTAAAGTTGTTATTTGCAGTAGTATGAACCAAGACAAATAAAATAAAACTTTAAAGAAAACCCTTGTCTTGAAATACAGCTAGTGGTTCCCAGCAAAAAGGAATTTATAACCTTAGTTGTTAAACAGGAGATTGGTGAAGGCTTTGATTGATAAACAAGGCTGGTAAAATTATCAGGTGGCCAATAACCTTGATTAAATGGTTTGAGAATTGTAATAAAAAAGCATCTTTTGAGCGGAGCCAAATTGTAAAAAAAAAAAGCATGCCTGAGCAGAGCTGCTGAGCTGCTGTTTCGCGGCGCTCCGGCAGAGCACGCCCAGTGGGTGGGGCAAGCGCTGGGATGTAGCGCGCAGGGGCGGGCTCGGACTGCCCCCGGAAACGTGTAAGGTGGCAGCGGCGGCGACGACGGCTCACAGGGGAGGGAGGGGCTGGGACGGCGCATGGGGGAGGGCCTGGGAGGCGGCCCGACACAGTGCGCGAAGCTGGAACTGCTTGCAGGGCTCGAGGATTAGAAAGCCAATTTAGGAACACAGCTGGGTTTTGATTAGCTTCCTGGACCTGTTTTAAAAATTTGTTATAGTTAGTATGCTTTTCCTGCTCTGGCACAGCTATAGGCCCAGAGTCTTTATAAACGTCCTTAAAATGTAAATCATAACAATTAGTAATAAATTTAAATTGCCTGATATAATTCTGTGGGTCAACAGAGAGGCTACCTAATTTAAGGGTAATCTGAGATAGATCAGAAAGGGAAAAAGGCACATGGATGTTAACAGGTCCCTTGGGGCCAGCTGGCTCCCGAAGCGGTAGCAGAGCCTGAGGAGATTCCGGAGCAGGGGGCCATTGAGCAGCTATCCGTCCGGTAGGTGCATGTGAGCAATCATCTGTAGAGCGGCTACAGAGCTGCTGCCGGTCACCCTGGGAAACATGAGCAGATGGCGTCTCACTGTGTGCCTTGCAGTGAGAGGACTGCTGTCGGCAGCACAATGAAGCATCATGTGCACTGCAACAGGGCGGCTGTTGTAGTTCACAAGAGGAGCCACAAGGAGACGCCTGTTGACAGTGAGGGTCCTGGGAACATGGCGGTGCCCTGTCACGTGACCCAAAACATGGCGGCGCCCTGTCACGTGGCCCGAAACATGGCGGCGCCCTGTCGCCATGTGGCCCTCCGGAACATGGCGGCGCCATGCCACGTGGCAGAGGGTTGCAACATGGCGACTGTTCCCCGCGCAAGCTGGAACAATCACGCGACCTGCTGGAAGGACATAGCAACCGAGATCTAGTATGGTGGGCGGGCGGTGAGAATGCTGTAGGGGATACAGAATTCTCAGGAGAGGAAGTCGGAGACTGAGAGGAAGCACTAACAGAGGGATCAGAGCCGCTGGGAGTGATATGGGTCCCAGGAGAAGGCGGGGGAGAGGATGGAACATCGGGAGATAACTGCGACACAGGGGGATTAGAGCTGCTGGGAGAGTTATGGGTCCTGGAAGGTGGAGAGGGAGACGATCGTACAGTGGGAGGTATCTGCAACGGAGAGGGATTAGAGCTGCTGAGAGAATCAGGCATAGGGGGAGGAGAGCGTGGTCCGGCGGGAGGTAACGGCAGGGAACAAGTTTGGTGGTAGGCAGGCGGTGGCCGGGAAAGCACTGGAGGGCAGGACGGAAAAGTTTGCGGCGCAGTAGACTTAGCTAAAAGTATCTCAGCGGGAGCACAAGACTTAATGAGAGATGGACGTGTTCTCAGAATAAGAAAGGCTTGGACATAAGGGAGTTCTAATAACTTGTTGCCAGCTTGACAAAAATCGTACAAGTTCCTGAGAATGCAGGGGTCAAATGTTCCTTGTTTGGGCCAAGGCTTGCCGATAAGCGGGTAGGTTGGCCAGACCTCCTGGCAGTAAAAAGTTAGTTGTTTAGTTTTTATGGTACCTTTAATTTTTAGAGTACGTAAATTGGAAATTAGGCACCGTAAAGGCGTCTTTTGGGAGTTAGAAAATACGTTCCCCATGACTGATTCAGGCAAGAAAAAAAACCGGAGGTCCAGAAAAAAGTCGTCACTTATTTGTGGTACCACGCGGCGGCTACGGTTCCAAACCGTAAACTCCAGTCGTCACTGAGAGATTTACGAATGGAGTCTACGTGGGGTCAGTAACAGTTTTGCCCGTGAAAGCGCAAGGCTTTAAGGGAAGTGAGGCATTCTTTCAGTGTGGGCGGTCCCAAAAATCTCTGCTTTGGGCTATCCGAACCCAAAGAACGTGAGAAATTTTGTGGGCGCAGGTTTGCCCAGAAAGAACCCTGCCCTGGGCGGTCCTAAGGACGTGAAAATGCACAGACCCACGCAGACGGGGAGAACATTCCACTGGGGCTGCCCAGTGCGAAAAGTTCCCCGGGGAGTGCTCACCTGAAATCAGTCTGGCCGATGCGGAGTGCAGGCGGCTGGCGACAGGAACGTCTCGGGAGAGGAAAAAGCTCGGGATTAATCCAGGATGGTATCTGGTTATCGGCGAGGAAACTCTGGGTATGTGGCCCAAGAGTCAGTTGCCTGCCGATCGAGTCACGGCACCAAATGATAGAGATATTAACAAAAGATGAGAAATATAAAATAAAAAGCGGCCTTTATTCTGAGAACACGGAGAGAGATGACCGGCACCCCACCGCTGGCGTCCGGCGATCTCTCCGGCGGACACGCGGCGTGGGGGCCTGTAAATAGCCTCGGTTTGGGGTGGAACCTAAGGCGGGCATTAGGGATACACAGGTAGCCCATTGGTCCTAGGTTTGGCGCCATATGTAAATTCCCAGGGGCGGGAAGATGGCATCACAGGTAACTTCCTAGGGGCAGGGCAAGATGGGGCTTCCTGCTTCCGGTTGTGGCTTTCCTGGCTACAGTGTCCTGTCTGGGCCAAACCTTTCAGCAGGTCCCTGTCTAGTTTTGGAATCAGAGTTATGCTAGCTTCCAAGAGTGACTTTGGGAGTGTTCCTTCTTTTTCATTAAAAAGTTTGAAAGTATTGGTGTCAGATCTTCCCTGAAATACTTGTCAAATTCAAAGGTGACTCCATCAGGTCCAGAGCTTTTCTAATTGGTAGGTTTTTTGGGTTTTGAATTTTCTTGGGGGGAGGGTTTTTTTTAAAAAACTGCTTTAATTTCATTGCCTTTTACTAAATTATTCGAAGATTTTATATCTCCCTGGTTCTGTTTTCGTAATTTACATCTAGGAATATCTGGGAATTTATTGATTTCTTTTTAATTTTTCAACTTACTGGAGTATACATTTTCAAAATATATACTGATTGTGGGGCATGGTGGCTCATGCCTGGAGACTGAGGCAGGAGGATCATTGCGAGTTCGAGACCAGCCTGGGCTACGAAGTGAGTTTAAGGCCGGCCTGAAGTATATATATAAAAATACACACACACTAGTTATCTGGACTTGACTATATTCATTGTAATTTCATCTTCTTCATTTCTAATTGCATTCTTTGGTGTCTTTACTTTTTTAATAAAATTGGCTATCAATTTTGGGGGGTTTTTTTTTTTGCAGAATCAGCTCTTTGGTTTATTGTTTCTTTATATTGTTCAGCTCAATTTCCTTAATTTCTGCTGTTATCTCTGTACTATTCTTATCCTACTTTGGATTTGCATTGTTAATGTTTTTCTAGGACCTTGAAATGTAGTGGTAGGTTGTTTATTTGGTCTTGCTCATTTTTCTGATGTGGTCTTCTTTGTTTGAGTTCTTTATATATTCCAGATACTCATTCTCTGTCTGAGGAATATCTGGTTAAAAACTTTTCTCATTGTGTAAGTTATCTCTTCACTCTACTAATTGCTTTACTGTATCTCTTCACTCTACTATAGTTGCTGTGCAGAAGTTTTTTAATTATATGTAACCCCATTTGTTGGTTCTTGTTATTATTTCTTGTGCAATTGGGGTTTTGTTTGAAATATCCTTTCCGTAACTTGGAGTGTTTTACTCATTTTGCCTTCTAGAAGGTTCAGTGTTTGTGTTTTAATATTTAAACCTTTGATCCATTTTGATTTTAGTGTAGTATATTGTGAAAGGTATGGGTCCTGCTTCAATCTTATGCCAACAGCTAATCCAGTTTTCCCAGCACTATTTATTGAATAAACTCTTTCCTCTTTTACTTTTGGCTCCTTTGTCAGTGATCGTATAACTGTATGTTTCTGAATCCTCTCGTGTTCCATTTCATTCCATTGGTCCATGTGTCTGTTTTATGCCAGTACCATGCCATTTTTATGACTGTTGCTTTGTAGTATGGTTTGAAGTCTAATAATATGATGCTTCCTGCCTTATACTATCCCTGTGTATTACATTTTTTATTTTTTAAGAAAAATTTTGCTGACGGTATATTGTCTTTAATTAGAAATGCTTTACTCAGAAGTTATATTGTTGGTAATATATGATAAATTTGAAACCAGAAGCATAACTTTTACATTATTATAAAATTATGCCACCCGGCACATAGGTAACCAATAGTTTTAAAACTCATGTTATTAACTCATTATCTAAAACTCATATGTAAATAAGCACTATACATCTAGTAAAGAACAGGTAACAAACTTGGAGTAGGAGAGCCACAAAATCTTTTATTTTAAATCTTCCAAGGCTTTCTAGTAAGAACTAAGGGATTTTTAAAAAAATAAGTACTTAATTTAAGCAAAAATGAAACAGTAAAATAATAGGAGTTTATCTGTTACAGAGATGCTAGGAAGACTTTTACCGTCTCACAACTATTACCAGAATAAACCCATTAACAGCAGGTAAGTCACGACTATTAACTATTTCATAACAAAAACTTTTTTTAAAGAAATGAGTTGTGCTTATATAAATCATTGACTTTTTAAAGTAATATTGTGTGGTGTATCCAAGAATAGACTCCCAGTTCTTGTGTACATCAAGCAAAGAATTCCAAGTGTACAATCAATAGTAGAACAAAAAGCAGCTACATTTATTAAACATAACAGGTAGATATGCTGAGGGCAAGTCTGTGCCACCAAAAGCAAAGGTGCTATGAACATAAAAGTGGTGTTAGGATATAGGAAAATAAGCACACAGATAAATTAGACTTGCAGATTTTAAAAGATGTGCATCCTAGCCTGGGTCTCTGGATAAAATTTACAAAATTTATTAACAGGGTGCAGAGGCATCTCAGGTACACTATGGTATACATGTCTGTACTATTAGTGTCCCTTCATTGAAAAAGGAAGATTTGTACTAATATCAATTGGAGAAAATTTTAATACCCATTCTTGTACCCTGAATAACTACTTTAAAGATAACAATATGTAATGTAATAACTATTGTTATTCTCTTATTTTGTTACGAAATTTTGTTTTACTTTTTTTCTATAAAATAAAAATAAAAATTTAAAAAATAGTAAGCAGAATCATAAGGAAATAGGGCTCTTGACAGTGTTCTGTGCTGCTGTTTTATTAGCTAGTACAGTAGAAGGGGTGGAGTGCTTTTCCTGGAACTCCAAGTGTGTAAGTAGTGGTTGAATGGGTAAGCTTAATATTATAAAGGAAATAAGATTTGTCCCCACACCTGGATACTAGTTTTCCCTGTATTATTCTCAGTAGACTTCATCCTGCCCTGTGAACTGTATTACCTCATTAACTTCAAGATCTCAGAGGTGACAGAAAGGAAGCAGGAGGGCCTCTGATAGATACTATGTTGATTTATAATTCATGGTCCCAAAAAAGTGCACATGTCTGAACTTTTAACAAGGCTTGAGGAGGGAAAATGTTACTGAGAATCTTATCACAATATCTATGTGCTGTGTCCTGCATCTTTATTATTTTTATTTCTGCCTCTCTTGTGACAGTGGAGGAATGACCCTGGAGTTATTACCCAAATTTAGATGAATGAAGAAGGAGTAGTCTTGGCCCCAATTGTGTGATCCATACTATTAGGGTATCTTAAAATGATGAGCAGATATTAGCATCAATCGCTTTGAGACTTATTTTTTAAAGTTCATTTTCATCTGGTTAACCTATAGTGTGACATATGGCTCCATTTTCAGATACTTATTGTCACTTTAGAATAGCTATTGTGGAACTTATTAAAAGGATCAGTTTTTTTTATCTTACGTTAGTATTATACAGGTACATACACCAACTATTGAGAACTAGGCAAAGAGTCTCAATTGTCTCTTTGCCTGGGATATGGTGAGAAAACTAAAAAACAGAGACAAGTGATATATGATTGACTGCAAAGTCAAGTGTCTCTGATGAGTCCTCCTTCTCACACTCTTAAACAGCCACTATTTATTGGGTGTATACAGTGATGGATGGGGCTAGGGGAAGATTCCAATTCGTGAAAGCCTCAGAGGTTTATGACTGTGGGCAATCCTGGAATGACTCAAGGGGGCATAGATGATCATATGCTGAGAAGGATCTTGTCCTGGAGTTTAATCCTGGGAGGACTCAAGGGTGTAGATGATCTTTTGCTAAGAAGAGTCAATGGGAAATCTCAGATAAAATTCCAGGTCTCCACTTTATCCCTTAGGGAAGTATTGAAAATTAACCATTGTGAATTTGTGGTTGCCAACAACCAGCAATCTATGATATACATTTAGTAGCCTCAAATCTCCACTTAGAAATTTTAAGAAGCAAAGAATATATAGTTATGCTTCTAAAGTATCTTCAGTATTTTTTCATTATATGTAATTTTTAATGTATTTAATTTTTAGCAGTTACATCTCTATAGACCACAAAATGTAAAATATATGAGAAACACAAGTTAATATCCAAAGACAATTTTTTAACTGTAAAAAGCAAAACAGAAAAAAGGATAGAAATGATACAGAATTTCAAAAAATAGTAGGAAGTGAACACTAGTTAATGTGTTGCATATTTGTTATCTTAGAAGTTGTTGTTCAGGTTACAAAATAAGTATAAAAACGATCAAACAATCAAACAATGACAGCACAAACTGTTCTCTGTGATGAACTAACAGATTAGTAGTATTATTATCTTGTGTACATACACATACATACATTTATATATGTATTCCTACATACTTATAATCTTTTCCTTTCCCCATCCTGGTTGTTCTTTCCTTTTGAGCACTTTCTTTCTCTTTCATTATTACAATATCAAGACAATTTTGTGAAAATTTGAATGAAAAACATTCAGAATTGTCAACATGGGAATTGCATCCACATGCACTACTTCATGATGTTATTTAAAAATCCTTCAAGGATTTTCTGGGGATTTTGATCTTGTATATTTACATTGACCCCTATGGATAATTTTTAACCAAATTTTCATGTAATGAAAAGCAGACTACTCTGGATAATAAAGATGCCTGTGAGTGAATCTACTTGGAAGACTATAAAAGGACATTTACTCATCATAGGCATTTAAAGTGGCAAATATAGGAAGATCTAGTGATACAGGACCTCTAAATGATGTAAAGGCAATATTATAACTCCCAACCTGCTAGATGTCAGATGTACCAAGTTCATGTTCCCCAAAATCAAAGAATGAATTCTAGGGAACAATAGAGGTTAAGAGTAGGAAAACTTTATTGGGAGAGATAATTCCTGAGAGACAGGAGGGGGCCCAAGTGGGTTGCCAGTGAGCCTGCTTGTCAAAGCAAATTTTATAGAGCAAAATCATGAGGTGCTATAAAAATCACATGGTGGGTACAATGTGGAACAAAACTGATCAGCCAATGAGAATATAAGTATAAGCACTTAAGTAATGCTGATCCAAGTGGAAAGCAAGTCACATAGCAGGTGTATGTGAAAACAGCAAGGACTTTTTTTAGGTCCCAGTCCCCCACCTGGGTGACTGATGTCTATCTACACTTTATTGGACCAGGTGATATCAATTATACTATGTGGCTTATTCCTTGGGGAGGCATGTAGGCTTAGTTATTCTGTCTTGAGACCTGACTTTCAGTGTATGTGCCCCCTGCCACAGTTGTAATGTATTGCTATCCTCTGCTCTGACTCCTTCAAGGACCTATCCCTGTCTGACTGCATGTAATATTTCTGTTACTCTATGGTGCATGAGGAAACACCTAAAGACTAAGACCATGGGAAAGTCTAGATTCAGCCTCGGTATAGGCAGGCTGGAATTAGAGTAATAACAGCAGATATCTGGTGGGGAGGCTAAGTATGTATAGAGTTTGGGAGCTGGGGTTTATAGTCTCAAAGAATTGAGACGCAATGAGGTCAAAGCTGCAGTACAATAGGCATAGATGTGTATATGAAGCTGCGTCTGCTGGCATTAGGGAGACTGCAGACCCAATCCTAAAATTTTTTTATGGCCGTCAGTTCTGTGTGCTAAGAGCAACACAGATTCCTGATTATAGAAGGCATCACATGTATTGGGAAAGTTTATCTTGGGTCAGGCCTATTTCTACCCAATTTAACTGTCTGTAATACTGGAATTATCCAAGAAAGATAGGTATAATACCTGTGTAATATCAGTGCCTGCACCCTTCATCTTTCTAACTGGTAAACTAGATGAATCCAGTGTCAGGTCAGTGGAGGCATGAGGCAACACTGAAGATTGAGACTGTGGGAAAGATCAGATTTTATTCATCTACCTACAAGCAGGTTGACATCAGAGTGTCATCAGAGACAACAGCTATCTGGAGGGGAAACTGAGTATATATGTAAAATTTTTGAATTGAGGTTAGAATTTCGAAGACTCCAGATGAAATATTTGAAGTCAAAGCTGAGGTATTTGAAGTCAGATCAGTACAGGCATGTAAATAGAATTTGGTACTAGGTCTGGTCCTAAATGTCTTTAATGCCCTTATTTCTTGTTTACCAGGGCATTCTATTGTTTCCCACTGTTTACAAGGGAGGCATGGGATCTTTTAGGTCATTCTCAGGGTGGGAAAGAGGGTGAAATATCTCAGAGCTGTTTAGGCATGACAAATGGGGCAGCCCAGATAGTCTAATTGGGAGAGAAATCTTGGGGTATAGAGCTGTGTCAAAGGCAAGTCAGAGCCAGCATTTGTCTGTTGGTAATCACTTGTACACGATCCTGTAAAAAAACAGAAGTCTGAGAAGACATGGAAACCCAGTCCTGAGTTGGGACTGGAAAGGTCATATAAGTTGCTATAGATATAGAAATACAGAGCCAACAATTTGCTCAGGTAGGATGACGCAGTTTCTCAAGGAATGAGTTGATACTAAGGTTTGGCATTGACTGAATGAAGTGGTAGAAGACAGCCTCAGGGCATGGTGAAAGAAAAAAAAAAATTAATTGGGCCAAAGGTCTCAGGTAAGCTATTTAGGTATTTTCTGAGATTCTGGTCAGCTTCATCTACACAGGAGAGATTGCTTGTGACTTTTTTGATGCAGAGGAGCAATCTGGCAAACTTATCAGCAGGGCACAGCTTTACATGGGATAGTGAGTCCACTGGCCAGGGAAGAAAACAGCCATGCAGGGTTATGAATTGCAGTGTTATGAATAACTCTGTAAGGTCCTGTCTGCTTTTTCTGCAGAAATCTGGAGTTTAAATCTTTAATTAAACCAAGTAGCTAGGTTATCCTCATAAGGGTGAGTGTAAGTTTAACAAGGTGGTTCTTAAGTAGACAACCTTACGAGAAGACAGAGGTCCATTGCAAGTATGTAAATTCCACTGGATCCCTAGCAGCTTAAACACATGTTGGGTAATTTGAGTAATAAAAGTTAAACTGGAAGAAAAAAAAAAAAAAACGGGTTATATCTGATTGAGTAAAGGTGGAGAGATCTAACCTTGGAATTATATCAACTAAAAGACAATGAATAACATC